ACGGGCAAGATGGGAGTGGCTCCTGAAGCTAATAAGATGAGAGAAGCGAAATTGAGATGGTTCGACCATATGAAGAAAAGGTACGCAGATGCGCCAGTAAGGAAGTGTGAGAGATTAGCTATAACAGGAGTTAGGGGAAGTAGAGGGAGGCCGGAGAAGATCTGGGATGGGAGAAGTGATTAGATAGGATATGACATAACTCTGAATTAGTGAGGACATGACCATACATAGAAAGGTGTGGAGATCACGGATTAGGGTAGAATGTTAGTACATAGCCAAGTGTTGTCACTCATTTGATGGGAGAGACAGGGGCTAGCCACATCCCTCCCCCCCTTAGCCTTATTAGTAGTAGTATCTAGTAATCACGTAATTTCCTATGCTCCAAGGTGTTCTACAATTTATTGCTTCATTTGCTTTCTTTCTATCTTGATATTTTCATTGTCATATTTCCTTGCAACCCTGCCTCGATTACCTTCTCGTTCGAGCCGAGAATGTATCAGAAACAACCTCTCTACCCCGCAAAAATAGGAGTAAGAGTATACGTACATCCTAACCTCCCTATTTCCCACTTGTGGGACTATACTAGGTATGTTGTTACTATTGTAGACATTACACACATAAATGTACTTTATTAAGAAAATGATATCGTGAATATAAAACATCATAAACTATTCTAGACCAAACTAATAGTAATACTCCACAGTACATATTAGTATTTCATGCTTAAAGTAAAACCAGTGCACACATTTTGTTTAGTCATCAATGATACAATTAGACAAATCAATGGTGAAAACTCGTTTGATAAAATAAAAGAGACATATTCAGGTCAAATTTGAGTATAAAGATCATTACCAACCCCTATGAGAGCAACAAAAGAAGATACTGCATCGGCACGATGATGCCAGGCATTGGCTTTCATTAGCCCACTGCCAACCTTTTCTCCCTCTTGTTTTGTTATCCAGTATAATCTACAAGAAAAAAGTTGGACATAAATATAGGAACAAACTCACAGCTTTCATTATTGGCTTCATTATGAAGCTACTATACTACATGCGCATCTGACAGAAAGTATAACAGCTTCATTGTTTGCTTTTGTAATCAATATAAAGCAACTGTATTTCATAACAATAAAATCAATACAATGAAACTATCTTTCATAAAAGTAAAATCAATACAAAGAAACTGTCTTTCTTAAAAATAAAACAGGCTTGAAGGTAATATGTATATGGATACATATAGAAAAGGTTACAAATTCTTCTATTTTTCTGATTGAAGGTGAAAATGACTTACCCTTCTTTAACACCTATAGAGAGTATCGTCACACTCAAAGCAAGGATAGGGTGATCCATATCAATTCCATGGTGATGTTGCTCATGCACATGCTGATGAGTCATTGACTGATTAAAAACTTCAGGCGCTGCAGACCACAATCCCTACAAGAAATGTTTCAAACAATAGGGAACATAGACTCCTAGATATAATGAATACCAGCGATATATACATACCAGCAAAACATCTAAAGCATGCCATCCTATGCCACCAGCAGTAGCCAATAGCACACCAGAAATTCCAAGAGCTCCAAGAGTCTCAAATTTACCATGTCCTGTTCATGTAAAAAGTAAAATCAGATGCAAAACCAGAAGCATGATTTGATCAGACAACATAGTGAAATTTAAAAAGTAATCTAGATATTGGTACCAAAGCTACGATAGGACAGCACTGGCAATATATTTGGAAGACACACAGGTGAAGGAGTAAGGAAAACAGAGAATCAACAGGGTAGAGGAGAAGAGGCATCTGACAGTATATCTGCAGAAATGTTACATTGGACTGTCTTTATCTCAAGCAAGATCCACTATGTCTTCTTTCTATTTTGGGGGTGTGGGAGTGTTCAAAGTGTTGGACTCTATTTTACTAACAAGTATATTATATTATACAACTTTAAAATATTCAAATTTATTACCTATTGATATAAACTTTCGTATAATGATTTATCTATCCAACTAACTTATGAACCATAACTTTGATGTTTTTTTCTACTACAACTAATATAATATACAAGTCAACATTTCAAACTCCATTCCCCCAATCAACTGTGTCAAACAAAATATAAATGGGAGGAGTATATGTCTCTAGGGCTGACTAACTTCCACTAGGTTGTAAAGTTCAAGGAGCCGACAGTGATAAGATTCATATTCATTAATAAATATAGAAGATATGATATAAGTTCCATATCATGTCAGCTCTTTTACAATATTATATATTGGTTAATTTTATCAAATCAACAATCCTCAGTTAACTAAATCTAATTAGGTTGGTAGCTATTACGTCCACCTATTACACAAGTAAGCACAAGCACAAAATCAAAAGGTAAAGACATGTAGACAAAGTGATGTAAGATCAAAAGAGTTAAAAGTGTAAATACAAATCAAGAGTGACCATAAGGATGTTCTTTGTCCTTGGGAACCCTTGCAGCTTGAAAGGACAGCAATGATACACCACTCAAAACCTGCAAAGGCCATAACAAAGTATTAGAAGTAGTTCACTGTGGCTAGGCAGAATTTGTGACTGCAATAACAACAATGAATCAAGTGTTGTGGTTGAGGAGAATATTGTTGATATGCATATGAATCAAACAAAACGAACTGAAGTATTTGTGGACAACCAATTTGTGTTAGCAATTTCTCACAATCCTGTATTTCATGGCAAAACTTAACACTTAAATATCAAGCATTTTTTCCTGAGAGAAATGCAAAATAAAAGGTGATGTGATTGAGGAGCATCTAAGCTGATATCTTCACCAAGCCTTTACCAAGCAATAAATTTCAATTTCTTGGGCAAAAACTTGGAGTTCGCAGCTCTTAAAGCAAGGAGTGTTCCAAAAATGCATAAAAACTGCAACAGTCTAAGTTCGCTGTAATCTGTGTAGCAGTTTTATCTCTAATTCTTAGGAGTTCTCTTTTTATTTCTGTTGAGATTGTGAACTCTTTAAATAAGTCTGCAATTTATAATGAATTATGCAGTTTGCTTTCATCAATAGCGTTTTTGCTCGTTTAGCTTGTTCTATCAAACTTATGTTCAGCTTGTTTAATAGCAAGTAACACCAGATTTTATGTTCTTCCATTTCTGGAAACTCACAATCTCTATTGTCAAATGGTCAACAGATACAAGAAGAACAAACTGAGAGTCATTTTATGGAATAAATTTAGCTAAACAATGTACATGACTAGATACATCACACATGACACATACCACATCAGATATAGAATGAGCCGCATCAGCAATAATGGCGGTGCTTCCACATACATAACCTGCAAAAGCTTTACTAGCGGCGAGGCCAATGTCAGCAGCAAGTCCAAGCCGAAAAATCCTCTCGCCGCCTTTACCGGAGCGGAGATCGTGATGATCATGATGATGAGAATGTGAATCGCCCGTATGCCATCTCTTCTGCAGCATGAAACTCGGATTCACTACATGTCTAGCTGAATCGTCATCATCCAATTGCAAATACGGAGAAGAATATAGAGAAGTGAAATCGTAGTTGTGCCTACTAAAAGTTGTTGATACTGAGTAGGTTTTTCGTATTCGATTGAGATTGCTTGTGATGAATCTAGCTACCATGTTAGAGATCAAATTGGAGAGTCCCTCCGACTACTGTTGAAGTTTTCCGATGAAGAAATGATGTGAAACGCCGGCGAGGAGTTGTAATTGGTTCAGTACCGATTTTCGCCGCTGAAAATTAGTCGTTAGCATGTGCAAGAGAGAATCAGGTACTTCGCCAGCTCGCCCATAAATAAAAGGTACTAGAATCTGTAACTAATAAGTTTTAGAAACTTTATTCAATATATATATATTAAGCTTTGGCGCTTGAAAAATTATTACTCCCTTTGTCAAAAAATGAGCTAATTTCACTTGGCACGAGTCGAAGAAAATAAAGAAATTTTTGATTATGTGGCTTTAAATTAAAATTATATCAAATGAATAAAATTATTCTTTAATCTTATGATTTTAAACGTGTCACGTGGAAAATAAACTAAAGAGAAAAGAAGGTTTCTTTTTTAAATAGAGGGAACACTTTAAGCTTAAAAATTAGTCCCTCTATTTCAATTTATGTGACTAAGTAATTTGAGACGGAGAGAGTTAAATTCAGCTAATTCAAATGGATTTAAGTCGTATCCGTTTGGATTGACTTATTTTAAGTGTTTTTAAGCCAAAATAATTTTTAGTCAATTTTGAAGTGAAGCTAAAAATGACTTATAAGCACTTACTTTAAAGTCAAAATAACAAAAATAAGTCAAAAGTCATAAATTAAAATCCTAACTTATGACTTTTGACTTATATGTCACAAGCCAAAAATCAATCCAAACAAACCCTATAATCATGAACTTAGTCAAAATACCAAAAATAAGCAAAATAATAAATTAGAAATCATAACTTATGATTTTGGCTTACGAGTCATAATTCAAAAGTCAAATACAAAGAGCCTTAAGATCATGAACTTCATCTGCTTCTGTCAATAACTACTTTGTGTGTCCCAACTTTTATAAAAAAAATTGATATGTCAAATAATAAGTATTAATAGTATATACTCCCTCCACCTTCCATATCAATTTATTTGACATATTTTTGTTTTGGTACGTGCATTTATAAAAAAAAAAATGACACTTATATTTTTATCTTAATTTCAATTTTTCAGAGTAATGTGTTTACTATGATCACAATATTAATGTTATTTTAATACATTTGATATATATTTAATGTAATGCTACAATAATTTTCTTTATTTTTTAAAATTTCATGTCAAATTAAAACAAATCAGATAAATTAAAACAAGCACGTAATTAATTATCTTTAAGAAGTCATTTGATAGGAGATATAACGTTTACTAATCCCAAAAATAAAAAATTATTATATCCTGCATTTGATTGGAGGTATTAGACGGTCCTAGGAATTTATACCTTAGTAATGAAATAAGTTATCACATATACATAGTGGAATAATTTATCCCAAAATAACTTATCCTGAGATAATTGATCTCAAAATAACTTATTCCCAATCAAACAACACCTCAATTCTAATGAAAGATACACAGCATTTCAAAGTAGGGACTCAATCAAGACATAGTATGCCCTTGACTAGGATAAAAATCTTTTTTTTTTTTCTAAAAGATTCTTGGCATGATCCCAAGTTCCCAATCATCTAATTTGATGTTGACAGGTATCAATTCAGGAACAAAATAAAGTAATGTGACAAGCTGACAATACAAGTTTACAACCATTTCATGTGCAAAATGCAACCCCCTCCTAGAACGTTCTACTCTGATGAAAACACTAACGACTCTCTAGTCAAAAGAATCAAATGGCCTGGCGTTTGATGGTTAGCTCCTCCTCCTGTCACCCCGCCTCTCATTCACACCATCAGCACGACCACGATAACCAGAATAATGCTCAGGATTACGCGATGTAGACCAATCAGGTCCGTCACCCTGCCTCTCATTCACACCATCAGCATGACCACGATAACCAGAATAATGCCAAGGATTACTCGATGCAGACCAATCAGATCTGTAGCAGTCTCTCATATTCATCTGAGGTTCTGCATAGTTCCATCTTGCTACCTGTTCCTGACGCCTGACAGGTCTATTATCAGGCCTCCAAGATTCAAACCCAGCTCCCTCGGCATAGTTGTTGTTTCCTCTCCACGCAGCCTGTTGTAATCCTGGTTCTACATGCCCGGCAACATGTGGATTGTAACGATTAGGAATGGCATTTTCTTGATGAACCCGACTTAAAGCAGATCCCGGTATAGTCCCCCATATATGTTCAGGTGCATATCCAGGTTGCCTCTGTGTTTGTAGTTGTGGCCTTTCTAGTGACATCTGAGGTGCATGTAGGCTAATAGTTCTTTGTTGTACATTAGCTATAGGCATTTGCGAAGATCGAATATTACCATATGTTACACCTTGGATTCTTGCTGCAGTGGCACTCTGTTGATTGTATTCCGTCGATCCAGAGAAAAAGTAATTATTTCTATTTACTGCTGGTTCTGAGGCGGCAGATGATTGTGAATGCATAAGATTTGCAAGGACCGTCTGGTTTATACGAGGATTTAGCAGAGATGGTCGATGATCATTTCCATAAGACCCTGCAGCTTCCTGAAGCAGTGCAGACTGTTGGGCTAATTGTGGTGCAAGGGGCATCTGCCGATGCACAAAACTGCTAGCTTGATGAATGTCCTGTGAATGGACCAACGGGCCGTGTTGGCGCACACCATAAGACCCTGCAGCTGCTTGAGGCAGTGCCAATTGTGGCACAAGGGGCGTCTGCTGATGCACCAAACTGCTAGCTTGATGAATTTCCTGTGAATGGTCCATCGGGGCGCGCTGGGGCACACCATAAGACCCTGCAGCTTCCTGAAGCGGTGCAGACTGTTGGGACAATTGTGGTGCAAGGGGCATCTGCTGATGCACAAAACTGCTAGCTTGATGAATTTCCTGTGAATGGACCAAAGGGACATGTTGGGGCACACCATAAGACCCTGCAGCTTCCTGAAGCAGTGCAGATTGTCGGGCCAATTGTGGCACAAGGGGCGTCTGTTGATGCACCAAACTGCTAGCCTGATGAATTTCCTGTGAATGGACCAACACGGCGTGTTGGGACACACCATAAGACGCTGCAGCTGCTTGAAGCAGTGCCAACTGTTGGGCCAATTGTTGCACAAGGGGCGTCTGCTGATGCAACAAACTGCTAACTTGATGAGTTTCCTGTGAATGGACCAACGCCGCGTGTTGGGGCACATCATTTGCTTCTGGAACCACCATTGAACTTCTCTGTGAGAAAGGATTTTTAACAGAGTTCTGCATTGACAATCCACTCTGCACGAAAGACAAAAAAAAAGTTAAAAAATGAATTAGAGCCCATTTCAGAGAAGTAATAAGATGTCAAGAAGACAGTATAGCACAACAATTAACCCAGGATATTAGTCAAGTATTGTGTTTTATTTTTCATGAATAAGTGAAAAATCCTCGTTTGAATTAGGGGGACCTAGAAATAAGCGGAGATTCTCAAAGTACAGTACAAACTAGGAAGACAACTTGTATTTACCAATGTGATTCAGGGTGCAGGCTTCATTTGCTTTATGATTATCTTATTATTTGTTTCTAGTTTACTTGTCTGGAAAAACTAAACGAGAAGAAGTGGAGAAAAAAATGGAAAAGAGAGAGGAGAGGAGACAACTGAGGAAAAGAAATCCCCGTCCAAATTCCATAATAGTAAAAATCTGTACAAAATGTGACTAGATAACGCACCGTTCCAGGATCACTGGAAGGAGTGAGGGATGGAAGAGAAACTTCAACTTTCTTCCCAGCGCCTCTGGCTAAATTTGTTTGAATGCTCAGTAAATTCCTCTCGTTGGCTTTGATCGAATCAAGCAGCTTTACAATTTGCTCACTGAGCAAGTTTCCACCTTGGCCAGACGTCAAAGCATAAACCAGCCCTGGATGTTTTAGCAGTATATTAAGCAACTCTAAATCAGGTTTTGCTGTAGTTGCAATGCCATTTGACAGTGTAGCAAGCAACTCTAAATCAGGTTTTGCTGTAGTTGCAATGCAATTTGACGTACTAGCCAATACAGCAGTTTCAGTTTCTCTGTCCTCCTGCGGCAAAACACCTGTTTCAGCACGTTCCTCATCTGGTAATTGCTCAAGCGGGACTTCAGTGGTTAATGTGTCATCAGGCTCCATTTCAGGATCCCAAGGTTCCTTGGGGTTCAATGGGATTTCCTGGACTGTCCTGTAAATGGCTTCCGTCTCTCGACGGACTCTCTTATTCTGAACGTCGACTTCTTTACTCTCACCCCCTGCACAAACCCTCGATGCATATCGGAGCTGCAACCCTGCATCAAACAGGAGAGGTTAAAAAAGGATAACTGCATAATAAGGATGACCATTAACAGACAAGAATTCCAACTTTTGCATACGTACATTATCTCCCAATAAGATAATACCAGCTGCGGATGATTCAAATTTGTTAAACCAGAAGTCAACATATACCACTTAGAAATGTTGTTTTAAAAAGTTATTTACAACTTCGGACAAAGTAAGACATACTAAAAAGTAACAACCTGGTGATCAGAATTGGAGATATTTTTTTATTCATATGAAGAGGATGAGTCTACAACTTCCCATCCTGGATTTTCTACACATCGAGCCGTGAAGGAGGGGGAGGGTAGAAGGGACAGAATTATAGGAGTTTCAAAATTGAATAATTGGATCCAATCACAAACGTAAACAGATCAAGACCTTGAGCTACATAAAAAAGTGCTGTTTGTCACACCTACTTTCGTCTCCACCAAGAGAATAAAACAAAATAATCACATGAAAGTCCAACATCAAAAGGATAACCATGTCTGTACCACCATTAACATTTGAAACACTTGCTTGTTTTCCCTGTCCACAGAGTGGAGGTCAACAAGAATCGACCAATCCAATATCAAACTAAAAATTGACCAACTTCTTTAGATTTTTAAGCTTAAAATTTGGAGTTGGCCTCTTGGAATAATGTGCAGGGAAAACACTTGCTAAACTGCCTATATATGCAGAAGACAGCTTGCATTTGGCCTTCAGAAACGTGCATCTACAGGCAGCACTACATGTTGCATTGTGGGGTGCACGCAGGGAAGAAGGGGGGGGGGGGTATAAGGAACTGACACTGCAAATATCCTATCGTTTCAATTTATGCCCATAAGAAAGATCTAATGATCTGCCGCAACCGTTGTTTCCTCTTGTTTTATCTGATGAATGCCACCCCACGGGGCAAAGTGGGTTGGGGTTAGTCATTCTCTGTAGTCCAACAAATTTCTATATCCTGCTTTTCAGATTTCTTTTTGGACAAAGAACACTAGGGTCTTTTTATATCTAACAAGTAAATAAAAAATACAACAACAAACCGAGTGTGATGGCCAAATGAAAGCTAAGGAGGGTAAAGCTGTTTTTGATAGACAAAGTAAGAAGCCTATCTTGAATTACATGACATTTTAGTGATTGGGTGGCGGTGGGAGTGGGGTTGAGGAAGAGTTCAATAGCAAGAGCTGATGAAAGTGAACAGTCCTTGATGACAGTAAGGCAGCTATAGGAAGAGCAGGCAATTACATGTTCACGCATTTAAACTAGACATTTTCTTTTCTAAGGTGCTCTTTGTACAGAGAAAAATGTTTTAGATGAAAATACTTTTTGTGAAAAACGTCTTTAAGTCAGGTCAGGTCACCATTTTTTAGATCATCTCCAAATTTTGTGGGTTAAAAATATATACGTGCTACGTGCAAGATTGCAAGGTATGCTATTAGTGTTTTGACGATATCTTTTAAAATTAGATACTGAAATATTATCTGAGGGATCGTTTGGTTAAGTATTAGAAAAGTACTGAATATGGTGTATTAGTAATGCTGGAACGTGGTATTACTTATGTAGAATTTTAATACATGCATAGATCACCTCCAAATCAGCTACCAAACTACCCTTAGTGTTGATTGAATGGGTAGAGTATTTGTAAAGAAAAATAAACCGATCACTACAAAATATTTTCCTTGACTAAAACATTTTTTGCTAATATATTTCCCATCAGTACCAAACACACCTATATCTTAGCCAATTTTGTCAAAAACAAAAATAAAATCCAAACACCACACAATGCAAAAATAGGAACATACATTTGGCTTCATCAACATGTCGTCTCAAACTAAGCTTCAGCGTTTGACCAAACTAAAAATCTGCTAAATAATAACACCCTGTAATAATATTACATTCTCTAAGGATCCCTAGTCTACTGAACAAGCGTAGATAGTCCAGAGATAAAATTTTGTAGTGCCTTATTCCTTGTTTGGGTACTAATCAACGAGAAGTTATGCAAAAATTAGTAATTAGTACCAAAATAGATTATCCCTACTGAAGGGTGGAATAGTACTGGAATTAGTTATACCGGGATAAACAATGAACGACAAAAATACCCATGAGGTCCCTCGAATCCTTTTTCAACTAAATAAGTCGATGGGTATTTTTGTAAACAATTAACTTAAAAATTATGCAATCATGCAATGCATGTTATAATATTTAATACAAGAAACTTGAACAGTCAATAAGAAATTTTACCAGGATAACTAATAGAGGCATAACTAACCCCAACGTAACTAACACAAACGACCCCTAAAAATTTTGCAGGACAACTGGTAGTTCAGTAAGGGATGATAATAAATAGTGTGTAGATGTGAGACTAGAAGAGAGAAAAATTCTTATGATAGAAAGAGTATCATCAAGTAGAAACTGACTTGTTTTTATCCTTTAAAGTGTAAACCATTGTCCACAAATTTAAAAATAACCAAAGACCACAAACAGCGAAAACAAAAAATTACTGAACTCCATACTGTTGAATAATTACTGAAATTACTGAACTCCTTTCGTAAAAAGCATATGGCTACGAAGAGTCAAAAAGTATAAAAAAAACTAAGAGGTACAGTATATTCCCACCTAATCATCATGTTCTGGCGTCTCATACTGATCATCTATGAAACCACACTATAAGCAGTTAACTTAAAAAATAGATTGATATCTTCCCAAAAAAATAGATTGATATCGTCCCAAGACAGGCATTTTGACCTTTACTTCACTGCTTCTTTTTCTGATTATTCCTGTCTGATTGATTTTAGGCAAAATGCAGACGTTTTCATCCAAGTGAGGCAAAAAATTTCCCTTACTTGCAAGTAGGATTTCCTTCACAATGAGAAGGCACACTTGGCAATCAACTGCTCCACAGAAAACCCATAATTTCCAAAAGATTTTAGAAATACAACATTTAAAACCAAGTGGAAACAGTTGCTTATTTTGATTAAAGATCAAGACCTAAGATGCCCAATTGATAGTTTAACAATGAAAACTAACTGTTTGCTTCAGAGATATTTCGAGAGTTGAGCTAGTAGTTTTACTAAGCAACATCTCTATTTCCCCAGTAAATAGTTCCTAGAATAATGAATTTATGGAGGACAACAGAAACCTGATCGTCTTTAACTCGACTACCATGAAAATAAATTAGAGGGAAAAGCTCAAGAAAATCATTTTCCTTTTCTTTTCTTTTTTCTGACAAGTTGAAGACCACGCTAACCATAATGTATGGCAAGTTAGAGACCAAGGCTGAGTTGTTAACTACTTTACTAGAGACGACTCTCACAGTTGAATCGTGTGTATTACTCACTCCAGTCCCAATTTAGGTGGCACCATTTCACTTGGCACAAAATTTAAATAAGGAACCGAAAACTTCTGAAATGTGTGGTCTAAACTTTGACCATTTGTGTTGTGAAATTTTAAAGTTGAATTTTTTCTAATTATAGAAAGGTGACATTCTTTTTTAAACGGATAAAAGGGAAAGTGTGTCACATAAATTGGAACAGAGAAACCAAAAGAATAATGAAAGGAATTGTGGAGAAAAAATGGAGCAATAATATTAGACGAGAGGTGACATTGCCTTTTCAACCGATAAAAAAACCAATGTTCCTCCTTTTCTTAAATCTACAGATTAACAAGAACGGTCTTTCAGCAACAAACAACAGCAAATTTACCTGGTGGTTTCTTCCATGGGATCTGCATTTTCTTGCACCTTTTCCATGGAGGTTCCTCTACGTCAAGACTCAACTTGAGATGATTTTCAAGCTGACTGGACCCTTGAGAGGCAACACTATTGAGCTTCTCACATTCCTCAACTTTAGGCCGATCTTGCAATTTTGGAGCTCCAAGCAAGATACCATTTGGTGAAGAGGTAATTTCATTTGGAGCTTGAGGCTTCACCCAAGAACTGTCATCATTATTAGTTTTCCCATATTTACTCTTCAAAAACTGTTCACGCATTTTTGCTTTTTGGATATCATCAGCTGAGAGTGGGCGGCCTTGAGTTGCAGGTGCTGCTGGTCTTCCTAGGCTCCTTGCTATTGTTCTTTCGCTTGGTTGTTCCATTAGCTGAACTTTTCTGCGCTCTCGAGATTCTGAAGTAGTTAAGGCATTCTATGCAAGTGTAAGAAATCAGAAAAGGGAAGGAAAAACCATAGCTATTTTCCCTACCATGCTCAAATCTATTTGATGAGTATGTCATATGGGAACTTCTGAATACCAATGATTTCAAAGCATGGAAACAAATGAGAAATCAAAATTTCTTCCAACGACAGCTTATTGTCCAAGGAACGAGGAGCCATCATTCAATCGAGATAAATGAAGACATTAGACTGCAAGTTATTGAAAAATTGAATTAACCATAGGGGAATACAAGGATACTAGTCACCGAAGCTCCTTTAAGCCTCTTGTTAGAATCATCTGAAGATGCCATAAACAATTTAACTGGCTGTGGAGAATCCAACTTCCTGAAAAGAGGTGTGTGCTTAGAAATTCATCAACAATTACAAAACGCAAGGTAGTAAGAACACAACAGACCTTGAATTCTCTGAAGTCCCACAGAGGTTTGCATGAGCTTCTTCCTAAAATACCAAATAGAAGGAAAATGATCAAGTAAGATTAGAAATCCGCTCTTCTTTTTTATTGAAAAAAACCAGTATCTTCTCAACCAAATACATTTAAGTTCGCAATAAACTTACAACGTCCTCAATTTTTGAGTTCCATATTTCGTCGCCCACAACTTCGCTAATGCTGCAAACAGCAACAGATGTGTTGATAACTGAAAAAAGCCATAAAAATATTTTTGAGGCACGACCAAAGCTTACCTCTGCTGCAATAACATTTCATCATGCATATCACTAGCAGATTTAACCCCATTATGTTTCGTCATAGCCTGGCTCTTTGCAAATATGTTGCTCCATCTTTCAAGCAAAACTCTTGCCCTGTCTGAGATATCTGATCTTCAAATGAGATGAATGAGAGATCCAAAATACTGATGGAGCTGAAGAAGGGTTTCTCTCTCTCAACCACTCATCACCCCCCTCCCCATCCCAAAAAATACAAATATAGTGCAGTACAGAAGCCAGCTATCATGAAAATACAGTATAAACCCCACCGAAATAGCAAATTACTCTGACCGGATGATACAAATAAAAGAAAATGCAACCAAATCTAATTTAGTAGTGTCTTCTTATCTAACAAATTTTATATTACTGATGCAGTCTAGAAATAAACATATTTATTCGATGATGCTTTCCTTTGTCTCTCAGAATATGATCAGTTGAAATATCAAATTTTACAGATTGAAAGTCCAAAAAAATCATCTAAAGTTAAGAAAGATATAGTTGAATGTATGGCCAGTGAAATAGTTTCCAAGAACACTGTCCTATTTGACAGCAAAAACACAACAGATCGTCTGAGATAACGAAATACTGAAAATGATTACATTGCCAGCACAGTGATTTCTGAAAGTAATGTCCTAATATGACATGCCATATACGCATAATTCTTAAAAGATGTGCTGACTTTGATTGACATGTTTCCTAAATATCCAACCAAGTTTCAGGAAACTCTGTAATGCGGCATAATATCAATAATACTCAAGCTTCAGACAAGCTACCAGAGATGTATAAGCCATGGAGATGAGCAGATTAAGTTTTTTAATGTCTTTTTAACACAAAGTTACCTAAAGATACAATAAGGAGTTGTTGAATGCGAGGACAACACACCTGGAGTCCGATAGAATCGCAGGCTGTTAACATTCTGCAGTATAGCAGACATATGTCCAGGAAATGCTTTGTGTAAAGGAAGATGGCAGAGTACCTGATAACCAAGTAACAATTAGAACAACAATATTCTAGCAGAAAAAATGACATTATGGGCCAATGATCTAAACTTAAAGGATCAATATGGACCTTCAGGATGAGATGAAGAACGCTGGTTTGCTCTTCTCCAGCTGCTTCACTCAACCATGCAGATAAGATCATGACACCCCCTTTAGTTAAAAACCTAAAAATATGTATTAAGAAAAAAAATTATATTAGGAACGGAGTAAACTATAATACAATTTAAATTCAACGACCATAACTCTCACATACCAATATAGCACAGAGGGGTTTTGTACTTCCAAGATCCAGTCCATCAGCTTAACCCTCCCAGAAAAGGTTTCTTCCTTGCACATTAAAGTAAGAATATTATCAACAAAATGTCTATCCCTCTCATCCATGGCAGTTAGGACCTCATCTTGTGTCGAACAAGATTTTCCATCCTCTGTAGAGATTGGAACCACACTGTCTAGGGGAACTGGTTCTGTTTGTGAACTAGGATCAGAACTCAATGGGATCGGGCCTTCAATAGATAAATTGGTTGTGATAGGCTTCTCTCTAGACAACCTCAGGAACTTTCTTACTCTTGTGCGCTGAGCTGTAAAGAAGTCCCGAACCTGCAAATGCAAAGATGACAATCAAACAAACAAGGTGGAAATTGTCAGAGAAGACGAAATTGGAGAATGCACAGATCTTATATCATCTTCCAGCTTAAATTGCACCAGAGAAAGCTACTGAATGTCTATGCAGAAAGGATTAAGGAATCTTTCCATACCTAAACCGCCCAAAAAGCGAAGGAGAAAAGGGGAATGTATTTCTAAGGACTAAGGAGCTACATCATCAAACACAAAAAGGTGCATAATTCCGAAATAGCCTGTTCTGGAGAGCACTAGTGTGCTCCTAATATCCAAAATAGCAAACCTGAACTAAAAGAAGATGGTGCAACTAGCATGCAGATGCCACCAACATATGCTGCTTTCATAGTTTTTAAGAGTGACATTCCACGGAAAAATATAAATCTTTTGAACAATGATGACTCATGAGCATAGGATTATTGCACATCATAGCATCAAACAAATGTGAGATACCGAAATTTACAAGTCAAACCATTGCTCCTGAAACAAATGAGAGATACTGAGATTTACAAGTTAAACAATTGCTCTTGTTGATCTATGATCTGAATTCAATTTCTAGACAAGGAATCCAATCTCATTTAAAATAATCGACATTCACTAATGTAGAAAAGTTCTAAACAAAATTCCAGCCAGGCAGAATGGAGAAATGATTATTCCATTAAAAACTGTGAAAAAGCAACACACCTGTGTGACTGTGACACCAAAAAGAGCACTAATTTCATGTGCTTCCTTCTTGCTGATTGCATCTTTGACAGAGAAAACAGATTGCATATACTTGATTGCCTTGGGGTTTAGGAGATCCCTTGGCCTTTTACCTGCAACAGATGATGTTAAACTTAACAGAATACAAATGGAACCAGAATAGCTCGCACAAAAATTGAAGTCGTCAACAGCATAATTTACGCTAATAACAACAGAGAAGCATTAAATATAATTTAGATTAAAGCATCAGCTTGTAAAAATAAGATGACAGTAGCAACTTAGATCGTTAAGCAAGTTCACCAAACATCAAGACAAGTAATTCTGGTACATAAAAGCAATGTTGTACTTGCAACAAAAAAAACTACTACAAAAGCAAATAATTTTTAAGAAAGATGATACGCAAAAAGCAAATAAAATAAAAAACAAATATACAAGTAAAAAGCAAATAAAACAGAAAACAATGAAAGAACCACCCAACAAAAGCAACATGCTTCATGTAGTATAATCAATCTGCAAAAAATAATACAAGAGTAACAAATGAATATGTCAATATGACCTCCTGTGTGTTTGTTCTCAGAAGGGATCCAAGTCAACTAAATTTTTTACTCGACTACACAAGCATCATGATATTAATTTAGGCCAAGGAGTCATACCAATTTTTATTGAAAGAGCTCCAGCAGCCTGCACAGGGGAACAAAAATGAATGAGCCATCGGCAGAAATAAGTTCCCAAATCACCCAATGTAATGAGAAGAGGTTTGAGAGCTGTAGCCCATGTATGTAGAAATCCAAGAATAGAAAAATTAATTCAGCAGAGGAATCTCATTTTTGTGACCAACTTATAAATCATGTATTAAGGTAGCATTTACGAGCAAACAAACTGGAGAAATTGATCAGAAATTTTCTAGGGAAGAAAGGAAGGGAAATTTGGTAGAGAGGATATAGAGAGAGATTAGGAATCAGTAGATAGGGGAATCGGCTCATTATCACTTAGTTTCGAAGGTTGTGGTTGGTACTAAGAGTTGGATCCACACGGATTTCTCTGTATCAAAAGAGAAAAGAGATAATTCACCTTCAATACAGTACTTCTAAGAAGATGATTATGGGATCTCAAGAGGATAATGTGTCATCAAAAGATATACACACTGTTAATCTCAAGTTATTTATTAATCCTTCAATTATACAACCACATATAGTATGTTACACTTATGACTTACATAACCATAAATTCACTACCATTTTCTGTAAAAGGTAAATCTAGTTAATCATAAAACTTAATGAGCTATCAACTTAACCAATGCTAGTTCCTACATTTCCTAAAACTATCACTTCCAACTAAGTACAAGACGTATATTCAGAATTTTCAGAGAAACAAGTACTCAAATAAAAAAAAACAAAGATTAAGAAAACGAACCATCTCTTGAGAGAGGGGATTGATGCCAGTTAGGTTACATTGTTGTACAACAATGTTTTGGAGTTGATGTATCTGGCTATTGAGGAGTTCCTTCTGCGAGTCCAACAAGCTCGACAACGGCGGCGTAGGACTGGTCAAGGCTAGCTGTAACTGATTTTCCATATTAGACTCCACCAATCGAAAATTCCAACAGACTTCGAAGCACCAGAATAGGGCTCTGGACTTAAAACCACCCGCTTTTAGAAGTCTGGAAAGCGGCACCTAAACTAGTTGGATTTGCTTGAATTGATAGGCTTACCGGGCTTCTCTGTCTATTCAGTAGATTTTTTTGCAAACTCTTCCCCGCAACAGATCGAACACGCATCAGATTCAACAGACCGGATTAATTCTAGAGTTTTGCACGGCAGCTGTATAAATGGGGAAGAAGCAGCAGCAGCGAAGGATTGACTTGTCCCGCAACTATTTGATGAAAAGGCAAAAGAGGGATGTGACGTCCGAAGATGAAAAAGATGCTGACAAGGGGGCGGGCAAATTGAGAAATAGAACGAAGAAAAGAGGTAGAGGTAGGATGAAGAAAAACTTGGATGCGGGAGGTGATTAGACATAAATTACTTAAGGTATAAATAGAAAGGTGTGGAAGTCGAGGATTAGGTTACAATGTTCGTATGTAGCCAAGTGTTGTCCCTTATATTTAGATGGGAGAGACAAGCGCTAGCCCCCCCCCCCCCAAATAGCCTTAATAGAAGTAGTATCTAGTAATCACGTAGTATTCTATGCTCCAAGGTGTTGTACAATCTATTGCTTCATTTGCTTTCTTTCTATCCTGATATTTTTGTTGTCATATTTCCTTGCAATCTTGTTTTGATTACCTTCTCGTTTGAGCCGAGGATGTATTGAGAAAAAACTCTCTACCCCGCAAAGATACAAGTAAGGTGGCGTACATCCTACCCTACCCTGACCCCACTTGTGCGACTACACTGGATATGTTGTTAGACATTACATAGATAAATGTACTTTATTAATAAAAAAATGATATTGCGAATATAAAAATCATAAACTATTCTAGACAAAATTAATAGCAACACTTGACAGTAAATATTAGTATTTCACGCTTAAAGTAAAACCAGTAGACACATTTTGATTAGTTCTCAATGATACAATTACACAAATCAATGGTGAAAACTCATTCACTAAAAGAAAAGATGCATAATTAGGTCAAATTTGAGTATAAAGATCATTACCATTGTCAAGAAGTCATCACCAACTTAACTACTTAAGATAAATCAAGAAAATCTAGAATATTCTGGAGTTGTTGAGAATTGAAGAAAGATCTAGAATGAGTATTCTAGAGAGAATAGTCTAAAAATGTTCTACAAAAGGTAATTCTAGAAAAAGATAGCTAGAAATATTCTGGAGTATGTATCTCTATAGACTCTTCCATCACCTCCAATACATAGAGGTGTTCCATTTGAGTTGTAACCAAGTAAGTAACAAACCAAGTAGCCAAGTAAGTAAGAAAGCAAGAGAGCAAACAAATGTATGCTAAGTAAAGAGTGTTGTTGAAGCAAGCAACAAGTGTGATCACCATTGTAAGACTGAAGCGGATCCTTACTTAGATATAATAAAATTCAAGTTGTGAGAAGTCAATAGTGCCCGTCGTCTCAAACAATATTCAACAAGTGATATCAGAGTCTGATGGATAAGAGCAAGGTAGTAAAGAAATCGTACAAGCTATTGCCAGAAGCTACAAGTCGCGAGACACTTATCAATGGCAGAGTTCGCAAGCACTCTCAATAGCATTGAGAAGTTCAACGCAATGAATCATGAAGCACGAGAATGCAATATTACTTTCAGTGGTTCAAACACCACAGCATCAACAAATGTTGAAGCAACAAAAAGGTAGAAAGTCAAAGCAGGAAAGGTCATGTATGCTCTCACTGTAACCACCGAGGATGAGTTCCTACAACATATTAAGAATGACAAGACACCACAAGAAGATTGGGAAACGTTGACAATGATTTTCACAAAGAAGAATGATGCGACATTACAAAGACTTGAAAATGAGCTTTTGTCGATCTCTCAATGGAATACGACGATCAGGCTATACTTCTCAAAGGTAAAATCAGAGACAAGAATGAGGAAATCATTGTTCATGGTTTAAGGCCGAAATAGAATGGTATAATTAAAGTCCCACACAAATAGGCCACAGAACCAAACTTTATCTGAGTTGGAAAATGTGTTGGCAAATGAAGAAGGTTCGGAGAAGTCATTATCAAGTTTCACTATAAAAGACGAAGATAAGGCGCTATTCAACAAAAGGCAAGACTATCAAAAAAGAGAAGCAAAGAGAAGTTCACAGGCAGGGAGAGAAAAAATCAACATCAAAGAACTCAACGACAAAACAAGTAGGCGAAAGGCTTCAACAACCGAAAAATGGAGAAATGCTACAATTGTGGAAAGAAAGGACAGTATGCTAGAGATTGTTGGTACAAAAAACCTAAAGGTAACGTAGATACTTCTACTCAAAACAAGAAAGATAAAGAAGTTTAGGATTTCAAGACCTCTTATGTGTGAAGAAACTAATCAACAAGAGGATCTTGTCATATGTCACCCTAACAAAGAAAAGGAGATTGCACTTGCAACTGTAAATGAGAAATTGGTCGATTATGAACATGATTGGATCGTTGATTTAGAATAATCCAATCACATGACTGGTGATGAGAAAAAGCTCATTAACATGAGTGAATATAAAGACAGTCGAGTAGTGGTATCTGCAAATAATTCAAAAATGTCAATAAATCATATTGGCAAGACAGTGTTTGTGTCTCATCATAGCTCGAGACAAGTGAAACTTCAAAATATCTACCATATTACATGTTTGAAGAAGAATTTATTATCTGTATCGCAACTAACAAATTCTGGTAATTATTTCTTTGGGCCAAATGACATAAAAGTGTACTAAAACTTAAAAGTTACAAGCACAGCAATCATGGAAGGAAGAGGATTAGAGTCAATCTACATCATGCAAGCTGAGACAGCTTATGTTGAGAAAATCTGAAGTATAGCTAATCTATGGCATGGACGTCTTGGGCACATGAGCTACAACAAACTAAAAATCATGATGCATCAGTCAAAATTAAAAGGCCTTCCCAAAGTTGAGATTATAGGAGACACTATATGTGTTGGATGTCAATATGGAAAAGCACGTCAACCAATGGCGGAGCCAAAAATTTCGCTAAGGGTGTTTAAACTATATAAGAGTTGATAAAAAAAATTAGCAGTGTGGATGCACAAATATTTGTTTTTACGGATGAGTAGGTGCACCGAAATTAAAAAAATAAAATACATATCATAAAATTACTAAATTATACGAAACTTCTTTTTTATATGGAAACTTAAAATTATAAAACTATCAATTGTATAAATCAAAACTAATGGAGAAAGATCAACAAAAACAATTTTGCTACTAGTTAAATATAGCCCCCTCTAGTTCATATTAAGTGAATTATTGAGACTTTTTTCATGATCCAAAATAACTAAATGTCTCAAAGTTCAAGAGAACTGTTGAAACTTTTTTCCCATAATAACATTATTAACTGTTTTACATTTTCTAAAAGAATAGTTTATAAATAATAATAAAAAATAATAGTGGATAGTGATCTTTAATTTATCTTCAAATAATTTCTTTAGAGTGTGTTATACGTAATAATTCACTTAATATAGATCGAAAGTATAAAGAAAACAATAAAATCTTATTATTAGATTATTCAAAATTTAAGGTTGATAATTAGGTGCTATTTCTGTTCTAGAAAATATGAGCTAAAAACGCAGCTAATGAGGATTAAATCACCACCTCAAAGACCTAAATTAGCTCGGGAAAATAGTGTTAAAAAACACAGCTTATGGGGATCGAACCACAGAACTCAGAGCCATACACTTGCGCGCTTGCCGCCAGACTACCAACCTATGTTGTGCATAAGAGTGTTCAATTTATTAAATATACATAAATTCGACAGTATCTTACTTACACGACGTATAATTTTCCGACGAAGGGTGTTCACCTGACCAACCTTACTAGGTTGTAGCTCCACCCTAACGTCAACTTCCCTGTGAAGAATCGAAGTATCAAGTGAAGGAGCCATTGGGGCTAGTACACCCAGACGTGTTTGGACCAGTCAAGCAGTCCTCTATTAGTGGTTACCGTTAAAAGGTAACATTCATTGATGACTTCTCAAGGTACGTATCGATTTACTAATTAAAAGAGAAATCAAAAGTATTTGAGAAGTTTAAAGAGTTCCAATATAGTGTGGAGATTGATATTGGAAGAAAAATCAAATGTCTCCGTACAGACAATAGGGGAGAATACACGTCACTAGAGTTCAATGATTATCTTAAAGTGAAGATGATAATTGCCTGAATACGCCACAACAAAATGGAGTGGCTAAATGAAAAAAATAGACATTTGGCAGAGATATGCAAAAGTATGTTGCATAGTATGGATGTAGCAAAACCTACAAAATGCATGAAAACTATTGTCCATGTCACCAACAAGCTGCCGCAGGAAAAATTGAGATTCATCTCACCATTGAAAAACATAAAAAAATGATCCATACTGTAAGTCACTTTCAAATTTTTGGTTGTGTTATGTGTTCTTGCCAAATCATCTCCGCAACAAGTTTGATAAAGGAAGTTGTTTTGTGCATCTTTGTTGGATAGGATGAACAAATAGAAGGATGGAAGTGTTGTGACCCTGCCACAAATCAGACATATGTGTCAAGAAATGTGGTATCTGACGAAGCGTTATCTTGGTGGTCGAAAGAAGTCTCTCTGCCGAACTCGATAGCTCTTGAGCAAAAGCTGCAAGATAAGCTCAACGAAATAAAACGAGGGAACAAGATAGAAATTAACCAGACAACCAGGAGGTATCTCCACAAAAACAAAAATGCTTGTAAAATCTGGAGCTTGTGAAACACCGGACGAGTTGAAAGAAGAAGAAGTCCAAAAAGGGTCACAATCGCAAGTGAGGAGGTCTACAAGACTGAAGTGTCCAAACACCAAGTACATAGATGCAACATTAACCAAGATGGTTAACATCAAAGAGGCTACTAACTTTGAAGCTTCTTGAAAGAGTAGGGATCAGAATAATCTGACGGAAGTGAAGGGCATGGACGTCATGGACGTCATGATGCTTGTAAGGTTTCAGGAATCACTCATTGATCTTAGGCATATTTATATGCCTAAGTTGTCAATATTTGCCCATGAATTTATTGAATTATAGAATGATCCTTAGTTATTAACTTGATTTTGTTATACTTGTGATAATTATGCACTAATACATGTGATTAAAGGTTTCAAGAATTCTCAAGGAAATTGGAGTCAAATTGAAGAAAAGAGATGCATGAAAGCATGAAAAACAGCTAAGGATGAAGGCCCCAGGGCCAGGCGCACTGCTAGGCACGAGGCACCAAGGCTAACATTCAGACATAATGAGATTCTGAAGCACTTATCTGACGCTTTGCTAGGCACATTGCCAAGGTGGATCGTTCAAAGTTGATTTCCAAACGTGATGGGATGCGCGACACCCCAGTGCTAAAAGTGTTAAATAAGATTCCTCATTGGAGTAGGTTTTGCCTCCAAGTTTTCCAACTCTTATAAATAGACCCTTAGGGCTCCATAGTTAGGGTTCGACGTTATTTTGGTGCACAAGAGCAAGTATCAACATTTCTAATAGGTTTCAATTTTCTAATGTTCTATTTTTCGAAAATCGCATGAACAATTGTATTTTGTGATTTTCTAATAACATGAGTGGCTAAACGCCTTAGTTCTGGGATTGTAGCTACAAATTGAATGTTGATTACCCTTCGGATGGCCAATGGTTTGAACTTGGGACTTCCATGTTGGAAATCTCAAGTTCGAAACTCTTTGTCAGCGAAAGCAAGGGATTTGCCTTCTGGGTTGAGCTCGTCGCATCAGCTTGCCTAGTGCGGGTTACCTCTCCTATGTGGTTTGCGAGCTATTGCACCCAAAGAGTAGCAGCTGCGGGTTTTCCTTATCATCAAAAAAGAATTATCTAAAGCTTTTAGAATTAATTCTTGGTTGTCATTATAGGTTATTTTTATATTCTTGTTTTAGTATTTCTTGACTGGCCATTTAGAGATAAATACATTGTGTCATTGTCTAATCCTAAAATCAAGAGAGGAGGAGTTAGATAGACTAGAGAGCTCGGTCAACCCATTTGATTGAGGTGTTCAGGTTTGACGGTCGGACGAACTTGTTTGATTACAAAATAGAATGAAATATATATGCTCATCAATTAGTTTATTTATCTTTGTTCAACGATGTAGTTAGATAACTAATTGGAGTAGGCCAACTCATACAATTAACCCTACAAACCAATAACTTGACAACTAAAATTAGTTCTAAGCCGATAATATGATACATGAGATTCATTGCATGTTGCATCCCTAGAATTCACTTTTACTTGCTTAAGACATCATCTTAAAGTCGTTCACAATTAGTTACTTTTATTTGTTGCATAATTAGTAGTAGTAAACAATCATCACAATCTTGAAAACAATCACTTTAATTTTATTTGTAGAGTCAAGTGTCAAATACACACGATAACTCGTTTCTTCAAAGAATCTATATTACTTGAGCGACCACATACACTTGCGGGAGTAACACTCACAACAAATGCAAAGAAACAATTCAGTTGATAGATAGGGGGAGTATTAAGAATTCATCACCAACTTAATTATTTACTTAAGATAAATCAAGAAAAATCTAGAATATTCCAGAGTTGTAGAGAATTGAAGAAAGATCTCTAGAATGAGTACTCTAAGGGAGTAGTCAAAAAATGTTCTAGAAAAGATAGTTCTAGAAAAAAATAGCTAGAAATATTCTAGAATAGAGTAGTATGTATATCTCTAGATTCTTCTATCACCTCCAATGAATAGAGGTGGTCCATTTTAGTTACAACTAAGTTTCACAAAAAAAACAAATAAGAAAGCAAGAAAGTAAACAAGTGTATGCTCAAGTAAAGAGTGTTACTAAAGCAAGAAACAAGTGTGATCAAGATTGTAAGACCGAAGCGAGTCCTTACTTTGGTATAATAAAATTCAAGTTGTCAGAAATCGATTGTGCCCGTCGTCTCAAACAATATTCAACAACCATCCCCTATGAGACCAACAAAGGAGGATACTGCATCGGCACGATGATGCCAGGCATTGGCTTCAATTAACCTACTGCCAACCCTTTCTCCCTCTCTTTTGTTATCCAGTATAATCTACAAGAAAAAAATTGAACATATATCTAGGAACAAACTCACAGATTCATTATTTGCTTCATTAATGAAGCTGCTATACTACCACGCATCTGAGAGAAAGTATAACAGCTTTCATTATTTGCTTTTGTAATCAATATAAAGCAACTGCATTTCATAACATAAAATACAGTTGATGGTGTCTGGAATATGGTCATGGAAATTCATTGATGGTGTACAAATAAACTAATATTTCATAAAAAATAAATCAATACAAAGAAACTCTATTTCATAAACATAAAATTGCTTGAAGGTAATATGTATATGGATACATAAGAAAAGGGAACAAATTCTTTTAATTTTCAAACTGAAGGTGGTAATGAATCTTACCCTTCTTTGACAGCTATAGAGAGTATTGTCACACTCAAAGCAAGGATAGGTGATCCATATCAATTCCATGGTGATGTTGCTCATGCACGTGCAGAGGAGTTCATTGACTGATTAACAACTTTCAGAAGCTGCCGCCACAATCCCTGCAAGAGATGTCTCAAAAAATTTCAAACAATGGGAATATAGACTCCTAGACATAATGTATACTAGCTATAGATACATACCAGCAAAACATCAAAAGCATGCCACCCTATGCCTCCAGCAGTAGCCAACAGCACACCAGAAATTCCAAGATCTCCAAGAGTCTCAAATTTACCATGTCCTGTTCATATGAAAAGTAAAGTCAGATACAAAACCAGATTTATGATTTGATCAGAAAACATATTGGTTTAATAAGTAATCTAAGTGTTGGTACCAAAGCTACAATAGGACAATACTAGGCAACTAGATTTGGAAGAAACACACAGGTAAAGGAGTAAGGAAAACAGAGATATAAACTTTGATGTAATGATTTATATATCATAGAGCTGGTATGATATGAATGTTACATTTGACTGTCTTTAACTCAAGCAATTACATTTGACTGTCTTTAACTCAAGCAAGATCCACTATGTCATGTAAGAAGTTTGTGCATATTAATACTCCATCCTTCCAACATATATGATATTCTTTCTAATTCAAACTGTTTGACTCTATTTCACTAACAAGTGTATTATGTTATACAACTTTAAAATATTGAAATTTATTTACTATAGATATAAACTTTGCAGTAATGATTTATCTATGAAACTAACTTATGAACCATCACTTTGATGTTTTCTTCTACTACAACTAACATATTACATAAGTCAATATTTTAAACTCCTAGCCCCCAATCAAATGTGTCAAACAAAATATAAACGGAAAGAGTACATGTTTCTAGGGCTGTCTGCCTTCTACTAAGACATAATGTTGATAAGATTCGTCTTCATTGATAAATAT